GCCAGCGCTGCTGACGTCTACTGCCAGTGCTGCCCTCTCTCCCCTCCTCTGAGTACCAAATCCCGACCCTGAGCACCGGCCAGCGCTGGCTGACGTCTAATGCCAGTGCTGTCCTCTTCCCCTTCTCTCTCTGAGTGACACAAATCCCGACCCCTGCGCACCGGCCAGCGCTGGCTGTACGTCTAATGCCCAGGTGCTGTCCTCTCCCCTTCTCCGAGTACCAAATCCCGACTTCCGAGCACCCTGACCAGCTTCTGGCTGACGTCAAAATCCTGACGTCTCGTACACCGGCTCGTAACGCAGCGGGATTGTCCGTCCATTTTGCCAAACATCCGGGACCCCGTCTTGTCCTTGATTGCATCCCCGCCAACCAGCCTTGCGTTCCCCCCGGGGCAATTTCGGCGGTATTCATCCGGGTGCCGCGGCGGCGGTGGCCCCACACACCAATTGCGGGTTGGGCCCTTAATAACACTGTTATCGAGGTTATGGCGCCGTGGGCTGCCACTACGGCCTGCCGGTCCTCGTACAGCTATCGCCGGCCGGACGAGTTCAGGTCTGTGATGAGCCTGGGCGGCGCTGTGACCGGATCTGACCCGATCTTAGAGCGTCGCTTGGGCCAGAATATAGTCCGGTTTTAGATCGGCACCATCTGCTGGAATTTGTCGGAAGAGCACGCGCCAACTAGCGCAGGTCATTGAAGGTCATACACATCATGAATCTTAAGCTAACCGCAGCGACAGCCAACGTACGATGGGCAGATATTACTATGCGGTGAACATCGTGTTGTTCCATTACGGCCGGCAGATCGCGTTCAGATCGCTGACCTGAGAGCAATAGACACGGTCATGGTGATTTGGCTGGATATTAGCCGTCCCTAGACGCTGAAATGAAATTATATGGCCCATTCAGGCCTTGGGAACACCTAAGCCAAGACGTGTTGCAAAATGAAGGCATGGGCATTTGCTGCGGGCCTGGCGCTAGATTTCGGGGCACTTAAGCCGGGCCCGACCTCTTCCAGCTCCACGGAAGTGTCAAGCTATGTATGCGCTATGCTACCCGCAGCTCATTTGTGCTCCGACATAAACCAGGCATAGCATACAGCTTCTTTCGATCGCGGCTGAGCAGGGATAATCAGCCGGAATCTGTTCCTCCACTGCATAAGTAATTGCCCGACATTGCACATTACGAGCTTCTGCGAAGCAGTTTCCGACCTTTATCGCACACCACCGCCCGGGACGCCGCGTCGCCGTATTTTATCCGCAGTCCTCTGCAGCCACCATCTGACCTCCTCACCTCCAGCCTGACCTCTCGACCGCTGCGGCGGACACGCGCCGAACAGCGTCCATCCGGGCTCAAACCGGGGCCAAAGGTCACCGGCCGCAGCCGATAAGGCCTGACTGCCGAAATGAGCTCGTAATTTATGAGCGCCGCCAGCTCCGAGGCCCGGGCTCATCCCCGCCCAGATGCGCCGCGTTCGAGTGGGGAGGCGGCACCTTTCCCCCCCCCCCCCCCCTCCGCACCGCTGCGACATCAGATTCGCTGGAGCTATTTGTTGACATCTTTGCTGTAGCTGTGATGGTTAACCCGTCGTTGTTTAATTGTTAGTTGAGTGATTTTTGTGGTAATTGCAGTTGCATGATGGTTCAAATGGGTCGCAATGAATTTTTGTTTGTGCAGGTTGTCCAGGGTCTGAAGAGGACCTGCCATGACCGATGATAACCCATGGCCAGGGTGTCGAAACACGAACACTTTACATTTGACATGTCAACGTTTTCAGGCAGGCCCAGCGTGTGAAATATTCCAATATGCTAAAATGCTTAGAGAACTCCGCGGTTATGTTCATGGTCGGCATGGCTGTATCTCACTATGCAAAGACATTTTTCAAATATTTCATATATATTTTGCACAACTCTCAAAAAGTATCTAGAACATTACGCGTGATAAACATTTCTGAGCAGCTCAAGCATATCCTCTGCATCATTAGTTCCAATGGGCGTCCACACGAACGCTGAGCACGGGTCTGCCGTCGCCACGTGCGGTCTTCCGCTGCCCACAGTCATCCCTCGTCACCACACCAACCGGCTCCGTCCTGCGGGCGTGCTGTCAGCGTCGGCGCTCATCCTCACTCCGCCTCCCTCCCCGCAGACTCGGTGGCCGAGCTCTGCCCCTCACTCCGCCTCCGTCCCCGCAGACTCGGTGACCGAGCTCTGTCCCTCACTCCGCCTCCCTCCCCGCAGACTCGGTGGCCGAGCTCTGTCGCAGCCACTTCCTGCAGGAGGTGAACCGCATCATCGACGGGGCGACCGTCTGGTCGCAGAACGAGCGAAACCTCAGCTGCCAGCTCACCTTCCAGGTGAGCCGGCGTTTGTCCGTCGGCCTAGCCGCTTTCCGTCACCAGAAGTCAGTGCATCCGTCATTGCTCTTCAGTCAAGGAGTCTATCCAGGATCACCTATCACTGCTACATGTATTCACGGTCCGTGCGGAAATCCATGTCTTGGGCATGTATATCAGTCGTGCTCATCGGTCTAGCGGTCATGTGTTCATTGGTCATTGGCCATCGACGGATCCGTTATCAGAAGAGGCGGATTACGACGGCGGCAGCAGGGGACCGTTTCCGGGTCCGGTTCCGGTTCCGTTTCCGGGTCCGGTTCCGGGTCCGGCTCCGGTTCCATTCGGACGAGGTTTTGCCGCCACTGGCTGCCGTGAGCTGTGAGGAAATGGGTTCAAACGTCTCTTGCATGGAGAAACCCGCGTGGCGTGGACGTGATGTGTGGATGTACGTGTGCACGGCGTGTGGATCTTTCCTCGTCTTGATCCAGGTGTCGCGTATGGGGCCGTGAATGCTCCTCGATAGAGCCAGGGTAACGAGTGGTCGTCACAGGCTGCAAGCCGTGATGTCGCCGCAGCGCACCTTGAGCCAGTGCACTCTGTTTAACCTGGTAGACCAAATCTACTAAGCGAACAATCGAAAAATGAACTTGACAATTCAGCTGAAAATGCCTCCCGCTTGTCTTCGTCTGAATACTCTCCTCGGCCTCCGAACATGATGATCTGACTTGAGATTAATGATGATGAATAGTTTTGATGATGATATAATGATAATGATTATTATTATGTTGAATGATGCTGCTAAATGATAATGATGATTCATGACCATTAATCATGATGCTGATGAATGGCGATTAAGATGATGAATGATGATTAATGACAACAAAGATGATGAATGCTGATTATGATACATGGTGTGAATGGCGATGAATGATGATATTGCTGCTGCTGCTAATGATGATGAACTCTGTCCCGTGAACTCAACTGACCTCCGGCGGGGTCTCGGTAGACGGAGGCGATCCTGCAGCGGCTGATGGTGAGGTTCGACAAGTTGCATCTCGACTGCAACGACCACCTCTACATCCATGATGGTGCTCATGCCATCAGTGGCAACCATAAGGTGCGGTACTCACGTCATCAACGGCAACCATACGGTGCGGTTCTCACGCCATCAGCTGCAACCATAAAGTGCGGTGCTCACGCGATCAGCAACAACCATAAAGGTCGGTGCTCATGCTATCAGCGGCAAGCATAAGGTGCGGTGCTCCTGCCATCAGCATCAACCATAAAGGGCGGTGGTCATGCTATCAGCGGCGAGCATAAGGTGCGGCGCTCATGCCATCAGAGGCAACCATAGGATGCGGTGCTCACCCCATCAGCAACAGCGATGAAGGGCGGTGCTCATGCCATCAGCGGCAAGCATAAGGTGCGGTGCTCATGCCATCAGCAATAACCTTAAAGGGCGGTGCTCATGTTATCAGCGGCGAGCATGAGGTGCGGTGCTCATGCCATCAGAGGCAACCATAGGGTGGGGTGCTCACGCCATCAGCAACAGCCATAAAGGGCGGTGCTCATGCTGTCGGCGGCAAGCATAAGGTGCGGTGCTCACGCCATCAGCAACAACCATGAAGGGCGGTGCTCATGCTATCAGCGGCGAGCATGAGGTGCGGTGCCCATGCCATCAGAGACAACCAAGGGTGCGGTGCCCACGCCATCAGCAACAACCATAAAGGGCGGTGCTCATACTATCAGCGGCAAGCATAAGGTGTTGTACTCACGCCATCAGCGGCAGCCATAAGGTGTTGTGCTCACGCCATCAGCGGCAACCATAAGGTGTTGTGCTAACGCCATCAGCGGCAGCCATAAGCTGGGGTGTTCACGCCATTAGCGGCAGCCATAAGGTGCGTAGGTTAGACGGTCCCGCTCGCCCGGCTCCAATTGGACGCCAATAACGACAGCGGTTAAAATTATTTGCCGAGTCAATGTACGTGCACGACGAAATGTTGCCTAGGCATGGCACATTAGGTACATGAAATATGCCTGTCCCTGTCCCATGTTTGAGATCATACGAAGATCAATATGTTGTGACACACAGCAGTTGCTGGGCTACGAACCATTGCGAGAGGTGATGATGGGGACATGTTTATATATTTAAGTACCTATAAATCCTGACATGTATTTAGCTGTCGAGTATCTGACAGAAATATTCATTATCCGCTATTAAGTATCGGGCGGTCGGAAACGAAGGGTGACTCGTGGGATTTTCCAGGCTGACCTGTCCTGTCGAAACACCAAAGAGTCGGTGGGGACTCTCTACACACGCAGCAACTTTGTCACGCTGAACTACAAGACGGACGGCTGGGGCACCAGCAGAAACGGCTTCAAGATTGTCATTACTGCCTTCAAACCCGTCAGCAAGAACCAAGCTGGTACGTCGGAGGAGTGCGTTGCGTGATGCGGTTGCTTGAGTGCTCGTTACATGGACGTAATGAGCTTCTTGACATATGACTCAAGACTAAGTTTATGAGTGGATTAGTGCGTTGTTGGAACCCTGGATTAAGATGAAGGGAACAACTTGCACATGCTGATCTCGGGTAAAATAACATACACTGCTAGATTAATTAAAATTAAAAAGTTTGCCTCGAGCTCAAAAACCGATTCCGGTCGTACTGCAAGCGATCTCAGTGGAATCTAGGATGACTTTCTGTTTATTGAGGGTTTGCGATTACCGATCTGTGTGCAATTTTGAGCTCTGCAACGTCTTTGCATGCTTAGAAAACATAAATATGGAATAAGTAGTTTCTGTTAATGATTCCTCGGGGATGTGTCTCCTTTGTGGTCAGCAAATGCTGTACTTTTTCTTTCTTTTTCTTTTTGGACGTATCTTCATGGACTTCACCTTCATGTTTTCATTTACGCAGGACTTGGAACCATCGAGAAGCTTTTTATCAAATGTGTAGCTGATTGTAGCATGCTGCTCTACGTTGTAAGCCACTTTATTTTTGCCAGGTGTTCTTTTGTGCTGGAATAATCTGCGAAGTTTTGGCTTTAACACGGGCACAATAAGACTATTGTCACCTAATATTACTTAAACGCACGCCCGAGCGGGGGAGAGGGTTATTTAATCCCCCCCACGAGGGTTTTCCAGAATAATTTCCCAGCGGCGTGGTATAGCTGCGCCAAAATATGTGTAGCTGTAGGTAATTGAACAGTGATCTTGAGTTGTTCAGTTTTGCTCCATATTTGATGACGAGATTCGTAGGCAATAAAGCAATTTAATTTATGATTAAAGCAAATTACAATGACCTAGGGACAGGTATGAAGGCCAGGTCAAGATTTAAGCCATCTACGTTGCTACCCGAGAGCTTGCTGTATATGATAGCTTCTGGCGAATATTTCGACTTTATTAATAGCAGGGACCGCCACAGACATCTTCCAGGGACTTCTTGAATTTCAGAGTAGCCCACTAGCCTAAAATGACCCCAGGTCAACAATTTGTGTGTAGTGACCTACCGCCTAGCTTAATCCTTAATGGTGACTCAAATGCAGAAATCAAAGCAATCTCACAGGATTTTGGATTACCATGACCCTCTAAAGGTCAAAGAAAGCCATTGGGATTAAACGTACACCAAAGAACATGTCCTTAGAACGAATATCTCGGTTAAACGCGGCTGCATGAGGAGGTCTGAGGTACTTTAAACGCCAATTCGGAGTTTAACCTTGTTTGACCGTATTGACCCAAATGTCATAACTTCGGCACTTTTCATTTTTAAACAAGTAAGTTTACATCCGGAATTTCCTCGCCTTTTGTACCTGTAGCTCTCTTAGTTTTTGAGATATCTGTGCGCGACTATTGAGTCAATCAATTGACGCCCACCCGAGCGAATGGTATTGAACCGGCTGCCCGGGCCGCCGTTAATTATGTAAGCGATTTAGCTCACAGTGCTAGGGCCGAAAACAAGGCACCGAATGACATCTCATGCATTTAGGATGTGTCGGGTTTTGAACTGCCTCTTGATGTTCCGCTCATTCTAGAAAGAAACCGTTTTTAATGCTTGTTTAATGCTTTTAGTGGTTTTAATACCTTCCGGCAAATGCAGCCTCGTTCAGAAAGTTTTTGTTTGGTGATCGCAGCCTGTGCGCTATCACTCATGCTTCAGTAGGGTTATTCGAAACTAGCATAGTAGCTCATGATGACAATGAGACTGGATGTAATATTGCGTGCAAACGCATTCAAAGAGCTCCGGATTAACCTGACTGATTAACCTGACTGAATTCATGCTGCTGTCGTATTTTGAGGACAGACACACGCCGTTTGGGTTAAAATAAATGCATTTCTGCAACACCAATCTATGATCTAGGGCTTCCGATTTCAATCACTTCGTCATTCGTAACTTTAGACGTTTTCTATAAACATTGCTAAGATATTTTACACTATGCAGTGTTGGTGTAGAGCAGGTCGTTGTCATAGCAAAACGTGGCTGCAAATTGCTTGACCAGGATGCGAACTTATACAACAGTCACAACCGTCCCACAAGTGAGCCCCTTCACCAGCTGCAGCCGGACGTAACCTGCGGTCCCTGCTGTTACAGCCGAGTGCGATGGCTTCGTGTGCCAGCGGCACTGCATCTCGAGCCACCTACAGTGCGACGGTGTGGTCCACTGTCCGGACGGTGGCGACGAGTCAGTCCGGGCCGGCTGCGTCGGTACGTGACGTCATCACCAGAAGTACCCGATCCCACAACCCCACGAGGAGGCAGGGACGAAACGTGGAAGTGCATTCATCGGAAGGGAGGCAAATTCATGGAAATCACATGAGTGTCTCCTTTTAATCGTATTTTACACGGTTTGGCCCGATGCATCTACAGCTATGTCATCCATAGCAAACTTTACTGGACGTTTCATCAGAAACTCTGCCAGTGAACTAACCAGGGGAGGGGGCTTTTGGGGCAATGTGCCCTGGAGGTGACGGTGGGTCCGGACAGTTTTGACCAGTTTAAGACACTCAAAGGACTTCTAGAGAATAAAAGCCTCCCAACCCTTAAGAAGACCTGCAGAGTCCTGAATTCGAAAACAAGGTCTCTAAGCGACGGATAAGAACCGTTGGCTTGGAACGGCAAACTATGTCTCGGTTTGTTCTCTCCTGGGAGAAATGCTGGCTGCGCCACTGGCTCCTCCCATGCACAAGACACATTGTTATACGCGCTCCAGTTTAAAGGAAGGGAAGTGTCCGTTGACGTTGAGTAAAACGACCGAATCGGAGAACACTGTAACATGGGGTGGTTTTTACGGAATTAACTTGTTCGATGGTTGCTATGGTCCAGTAAGTTTTCCCATGAACAAGTCACGAGAGGCAAGTTTGGCCACTTGAGAATTGCAGCAGCGAACAGAAGTGCTCCTGGTTCTGTATCAAGTGGCGGTCTGCTGGTGGCAGACGTGGCCGCTCGTCTGCAGTTGAAACGCCCAGGAAGTTTTTGACAGTCCCGTACACTACCAATCCACTCATATGCCTTATCAATTACTCCCCATGTGACCATGTTCGAATCAGCGGCACTCAATCCGACTTTCATCAGGATCGATTCGACACGGGACTATCTTAAAGACTTATCTGTTGCTAACCATCACCGCCGGTTTTCGGCCGGCTTGTTTATGCCTGCGCTTCCCCTGATCTTCAGACAGCAATCCGCCTTTCGGCCTACGCAGCCTTGCTTCACTATGACAAAGACACCTCCACAGATGACGAGCCGAACGGAAAGGACGGCGAACGTACCGCTCCCCTGAATCGGTACCGACCTCACTAAAACGATGCCTGCGTCTTGACTGGGCTGGCATTTGCCGGTAGCCTTTCATAAAAATAATTGGGTTTTTAGTCTCACGGACTGTCAGGGCCTTTTCGTGGCGGATACCTTTGTTGGGCATCATGTGGGATGCGGTGGTGGCGTGACAGGGTCCCGAAGCCAACGCCGACAAGTCCAGAGCCCAGCGCTCTAACCGCTACACGACCACCGACCCCATTACCGACACGCCGCATGCGAATTTGCGTGCATTGAGCTTACCGGAAGGCGGCACCAGCGTCCTTGTCAGGGAAAGTTGAATTCCAGCTAACGCTGGTGCATCGACGCTAGCACCGCCCCGCGGCCGGAGCCAGGCTTCAGCGGTTGGTCCATGTGTCCGCAGTCCAGAGCTGTCTTCGGTCCTTGAGACCGGCGTTACGACCAACTGAGACGTGTGCTCCTGAGCCGCCAGCTCTCGGCACCACAGTACCGGCAGCAGACACTGCTGAAGTACCCCCGGCGGTCCTGTGAGATGCCGGGAACCCTTGACGTTGCTAAACTCGACGAAAGCCGCTGCCAGTGCTGTGCGGGCTAGATTTTGCGGGGGTTCAGCTGCAGATGCTGAGCTGGTGCTGTGTGTGCTGACGCGGTAACTAGGCAGGCAGTGCCGGTTGGTTTTTGCGTACCTGGCCTGGTAAGCGTGGCGCCACTCCTGCATAGATACGAGCTCTTCAGCATGAAGAACGGCTCTGTCGAACCACGTGCGTCACATCACCAAACTCATCGCCGCAATTTATCGTTGTGTCAAGCCAAGTTTGGACTCAAAGGCAGCGTGAAGAAGTGGCGACGCGAGAGGACGAAAAGGGTAAAGCTCCAGTATGCTCCACTGCTCACTCCGGCACTCATTATGGGCACGTGGTACCACTTGGAAAACTCTTGAGACCCAATACATCCCTGTGCCAAACGGCAACGCGCTGTGAAGCCGTGACTGGGGTCAGTGACCGAGTTAGTTGGGTTAGCGAAGTTAATGTGAATGCACATATTAGATCCTAGAGTTCATAAGCCGCCCTTTTGATCTTGACGAAGCCAGATCACACATCGACTTCACCACGAAGCATCTTATATTTGGTTGCTGATGGTTGTCTTTAGTGCATCTGGTTCTGGTCATGAGCAATGTGCGTGTGACAGCACTCCTCTTTCGACGCTACTTTCGATGCTGGGCGGGGGTCGGACGTTGCTGGTCGCGTGACTGCCCTTCCTCCGGCAGACGCTGGTCTGGTGCCGCTGCTGGGCGTGGACCAGACGCTGCTGGTCGGGGCGCTGGCCGGCGCCGCCGTAGTCATCGTGGCCACCTCGCTGACGGTGGTCGTCTGCTACTGTCGACGCTCCCGGCGCCGGCGTGACGATAGCGGCGCACTCAACGCCCACCGGAGTGAGTGAGCCGGCGCGCTGGAGGCTGGTAGGATCGTCCGGCGCTGCATACATTTTGTACTAACTAGGGTTTATTTCACTCCCAGTTTTAGCATTCGTATGTCATCGCCAGTAAGTGTTGCAGGCATGCTGTTCGGATCGACGTAAGTTTTGAGTGCAGCTGTGGCATCCAGTTTGTAATCATCGTTTGTATCGCGTTTAACGGCACCTTTTAAAGTCTCTTGGCCATCCACTTTTCCCCGAGATGAACGGCGAACTTCTGGCCCTCGTGCGCGGAGACCGAACGGGTTCACTGCCCTGAAAGGATCTGAAAAGGTTGACTCCCGTGCTTCGGTATGGAGACCGAACGGATTCGCTGTCCTGAGCAGATCTGAAACGATGAACTTGTGGTCCCCGTGCGTAAAGACCGAATTGGTTCACTGCCGTGAGAGGAGCTAAAACAGTCAACTCCCGTGCTCCGTGTATGGAGACCGAACGAGTTCACTGCCCGGAGAGGAGCTGGAACGGTTAACTTACGTGCTCCGTGCGTGGAGACCGAACGGGTTCAGTGCCACGAGAATAGCTGCCGTCACGTACACATTAGTGATCATTCAAAGGCACCACTAGTAGTCAACAGACGCCGACAACAGGTGCCTTTTTCACTCTCGTTACTCCAAAAAAGATGAACAGCGACTATACCGCACTTCGTTTTTAAATCCCTTTTGAAGCGAATGTTGGTTTAGACTGCACTAATTGCGTCAGCAACATGCGTTGCATGACGCATGTTGCTGACGTTGTATGACGCACGCCCCACAACGAAAGTTGTGTGGTGTCACATGCCTAAACAGGCCTACAAAGCCTCACAACATGGACCTAGGATGAAAATAGATGTCAACACTGTCCAACAATGGTTGCATGCTCGTTTTTGGACACGGAATATTTTTAGAAAAGAAGGTGAAGGGCTACAGTTACTCCGCTTATTCTGCGATAAAAGTATATGCAAAACATATCCACGTATACATGTTTGGCTGTAATGACCTGCTTTTGAGAGTCCGTCGTAATCTGGCGAAGCCGGCGCGCTTGATTTGGCCTTTGCCAAAACCTATTTATTCCAAGCCATGCGACGACTTGAAATTTTGTTGAGTTATATTCGTCGCATATACGTATTAAGCATGCACTTACCACGTGTGCGCTGAAGCAAGTATATTAGCTAATTTTGCAAGAATGGCATTAATTGTCGGTGCGAATATTTTTTGCACGGCTTCGCTGATACTGGCACATGAATAATGTAAATCGAAAGTAATAAAATGTAATGCCAGTAGCGGGATGCTCAAAACAACTAAAATAACAAACACTAAAATATGACGCGGATTTACTAACGGTAAGAGCTCCCAAAATATCAATTAATTTCCCACCACCTGTTTACAAAGACCAATTTACACTCATTTTCGTGGAGCTGCCATGCGATGCTGTCGGCTCCGCGCGGTCCAGCTCAGGACGCCGGGCCGGCGGCTGAGACGCCAGCGGTGATCGTTTGCGGTCTCACAGTGGTCCCAAGGGACTGGTGAAGGTTAGGCTGGTGACGTCATCCCAGGCAGCTGACGTCATCACGTCTGGAGCGGCCGGGAATCTAGATAACGTTAATTAGGTGTTGCGGCGGAGCTGGCCTGTCCTCTCCAATCACAGGAGCAGCCAAAGTGGGAGATCCTTGGTTCTATGTGCCCCTCCGGTCAGGTTTTTCACCACTAAACTTTTGAATATATATATATATATATATATATATATATATATATATATATATGCATGCAAGCTGGTGATAACGCTTTTTCCTGTTTACAGTGACATGGCACACTCCTTGGTGTAAATACGTCTATGATATTTAGAGAGCAAATCGTGGCTGTGGGCGTCAACCTGAGGTCTGGAGGGAATAATGCGACCTAAAAATGACAATTTTAATATAAAAAGAGACAGTTATAAGAAAGATGGCAACTATAATTTAAAAAATTACAACTTAAATATAATAAAAAGCGTGCGCGCCACGGTCAAAATATCAGGGAACAAATTTCTACTTAGTGAAAATTGGATAAAATACGCCCCCAGTGAGTACCTCTTTGGTTACACCTAACAGCAATAGGGATTTGGTAACAACGTCAGATGATACCAGAGTAAATACGTCCGGTTGGCGATCGAGACCATGACTTTCGGGGCAAGTTCAAAGCAACATTGATAGCCTATCGATAAGTTGGGTATTGGTTTCCACGACATTATGGTTACAAAAAGATTCCGAACCAACGGCTGCTTCCACATTACTTCCAACGCCAATATTTCAACACGACATTAGCGTTACGCGACAAAGCTTGTGCTTCAAACATTTACACCCGTCGTTTTTCTGCTGCAAAACTTATTCAGTATTGACTTTTACACATTTTTTCTACTGGGAAGCTATACGCGACATACGTGCTCCACAACACAACATATGCTTTACAACCGTATACCGATCATTTCTACGCTGCACAAACTTATGCAGTCATTACTTATACACCTGACTTGTACTACGAAGACTTATATTCGACAAAGTGCTGCACGATAATAATGATTTAGAATATACCCGCTATCACTTATACATAACGTTACTTTTACTGCAAGGGCATATACGTGATGTGACGTGACGTCACGTGACGCTGATGTTACACGACGAAACTTATACTTCAAAAATGTATACCTGTCATCACTTCTGCAGCAAAAATGTACGGAGTTTTCATGCATGCACGATGTTCCTTCCACTCCTAATACTCAGACATGGCGTACAGAATGCGCGGACACCTAACAAGGGTGTGGGAACAATTCGCAGGTTAGGACGGAAACCCAACTGGGCAATATTGCGATTAAAAGTTCATGCTGCAGACACGAAACATTATTTGTTCGTTATGTTACGTTATTTTGTCGCATTGTCGTGCTCGGCGTATCAGCAAACACCTGGTTTGTAGTTTCCTGTTCAGTTGGAGGATTACGCACCCCCCCCCCCCAATTTTAAGGAAGACAGTGGACAAAATCCAGGAAAAACTGTTTGTTGGCGTATTTGGATGGCAGACTGGATCATTTGCATTGTTCAGCTCCCTCCCTTCTCCCCAACTCACTTTGCGAAAGTGCACCACCGGTAAATACTGTAGTTTTGGAAACAGAATCTCGATGACGGGTATAAGTTACTTGAGCATTAATTTTGTGCTATAAGAGTATAGCGTCAGTAAAAGTCATTGTAAAAAAGTTATGAACTTTAGTGGAAACCAGGCGAGGGGTTTAGTTTGCTGTTCTGTCAGGACCCCATCCAGCGTTCATCCGCAATAGGAAGGTGTATCACATTTAGGTCGAGTTTTTGTATATTTGGTGCAGGTTTGGGCATTTATGACTGATTATCTCCCTAACTTGTTTTCCAACACTACGACACCACATCAGACGTTTTCAGTACATGGAAGAAGAAAAGAGGCGCATGCTAAAGATACGTCGCTTAGAACTATTGCCGTCGTAGATCCGTCGAACACAATATTTACAGCTGAAAGCATAAGTATTGTATAAACATAAGTATTACGCTCTTATGAGCATTAAGCCCTCATGAGCATGAAGCCCAATAAAGCATTAAGGCCTTATGTACTGACACTTACGGGCACCTCATCTGATTTCGCCCGTTGAAGTGCTCCCATGTATTTGCGCACTTTGTGATTATTTATCTCCCGGGCTATTCCTCCCCCGGGATCTGCGGGATAGAATAAGTCTCACCAAAAGGGAGTCTTAATCTGTGGTTAAAAGAAGTGGCTGGTATAATTTGTGAAGTATGGCCTGTATTGTACAGCACAAATGTTGCGTATAAGCATCATATTAGAACTAATATTGCTTATTAATAAAGACTGTATTGATGCTGCAATGAACATCATGACGGGTATAAGTTTTTTAGATTTAATATTTACGTGCCTTTAACGTTTTGCTGAGTACCACTTTGTCGCATATAATTTGTTGCTTATAAGAAATATCGCGTATAACGAAAAACTGTGTAGGTATTGGATGAGGAAGTAATGACGGACATGTTTTTGCAATACAAGTTTTGTCATGTGGCACTTGCATCGTGTATGAGTTTTCGCAATAAAGGTAATGTCGTGTATAAGTAAAGTCTGTAGAAGCTTTTGCAGTAGACGTAATTTCGCATGGGACTAATGTCATAATACTCCTGTCGGCCAGAAGTTTTTGCCATAGCACCGATGTCGTGACACCAGGTGCTGTGCCTATTGATGCATTAGGAGCTGTGCCTTTTGGCGTGTATGATGGCTGTAGTCTGTTCTCGGTGCGTAGGTAATGCGAAAAAGGCCCGGACTCGATTTTAAAAAAAAATCCTTGCCCTCCGCCGCAAATCCTAGCTGCTTCTATGTTTTCATTGGCGGCAAAAGATCTGCAGAGCTGCGGGGGGAGGGAAGGGCAAAGCCGACCCTCAAGTTGTTCCTTTCCATGCAGCGCCATGTAACACTGACTGGGCTCGACATCAGATCAGACGACGGAAAGGAACCGGGGAACAGGTATCTGCCCCCTGCTTTCTTGGGATAAAATAGAGATAAGCTGAAACGTCGCTGAAGAGCATGCACAATTCTCCACAACTTCTACGGGACACATTTCTTCATTTGATGTCATGACCATGTAAGGTCATCATTATTGTTGTAATGCGCTATTCGTAAACATTTGTGTAACTTGTACAAGGGTTCCATAAATCGTTCCTGTCGTTTCAAGCTGTCAGCAGTGGAACGGGCTTTCAAGCTGCGATACTGTGTTCCACCCATAATTACATACTGCCGGCACTAGTCCTATGTTGACTAGTTGTTGAACGGGCTACATCGTCGATGACGTATGATGCTTATTAGCAGAGTCATGTGCAGATGAGGAGCGACACTTTTGAGCCTTAAGACGAAGATGGAAAATAGGGAAATTGTGTTGTTACAGAGCATATTGTAAACAAAAAGTAAAGGTCATCTTGGGGCTGTAACTCTTAATGACCATTCTCATCAATATGTGAACCGTGGGTAAAAACGTGACACAATCAGATAACGACTCGACACGTTGCAAAAGTATGGCGCTAACAAACGGACAGATTGGAAGCAGAGGCCAATTTTCGTCAGCGAGGTGCGATAGCGACCAACTGTTATATAGAGGCAACGATAACGCTTAACGTTATGTAGGTAGCTTCAGCAGACAAAAAGTCAACCATATTAGAATATAGAGAGCGTCATATTTGACCATGTCTAGGTTCCACTTAGTCCTGTAACCCGCCTCCTCTGATGTTTTTCCGATTTTCTTCTTTGGCGGTTAGCGCCGTCTCTTTATTTGTTGATGCTGTTTAAGGTAAGTGTCTTCTGTAGTGCCGTGTAACTCTTTCGAACTGGGGGTAATTACACCATTTTACGCACATGCCGGCCGACGACACAGCGCATGTTGCAACTGGATCTAAATCAACGTTCGAGAAATCACCTGACGGTATCCCGAGCCGTGTCGTTCACCCAGACCCAATGTGAGATGTCGCGGGACCCTTCTGGTGAGCTGGCGCTAGCAGTGACAGCACTCCCGACGACCTAGGCAGGCCAGCCATGGACACGGACACACAAACAGTGGGTCGTCATGCCACGACAGGATTTGAATTGTTACCATCTCATCTTGGCGAAGAGGGAAATAATTCAGCTGCGTCCACTTAAACGACCCCTTCCAGATAAGCCAACCCGCACGCGACAAATGTGATCATTCTTGCCGTTAGCGCTCCCAGGGCATTGTCACCGCTCCACGTCCTCCACAGCAGGGCGCCGGCCGCCGCCGCCCCGTGACCTCATCCGCTCCCAGCTGTGTGTCTCACTCCGTTCGCTCTCCCTCAGTGTCGGCCGGCGGCCAGGCGGCAGCCAACGGCCTGGGCTCCGGCCATCCGAAGTCGACCTCGGAAAACTGGCGCTGCCCTGCGGCCCGGACGGGGTCACCCCCACGCACCCTCTGCTCACCGTTGCCGCCCGAGGGCCGGGGTCACACAGGTCAGGCGACGCCTGTGGGGCCGAGCCCACTCTCGCGCGGGGTGAATGGCCCGGCTGCGTGTCGAACTGAGCCTCCCTAAAGCCCGCTCGACAATGACCAGCGTTTATGACGCGCTGAGCGGCAGGCCGTGAATGGAGAGTAGCGCTGACGATAGTCGGAGCCTATGCTTAGCTCGCCCCAGCTTTCTGAGGGTTTGTCTAGAGCTGTCGCTCCGGCGGCCAGCACTCGCCGTGCGAGATGGCGTCGCTTGACGCGTCGGGTTCTGTCTTGCAGAGACTCCGGCGGGCCGAAGGATGAGTGGTTTGTGTAGGGGGTGGAGCCTCCGCAGGGGGGCGTGGTCTGCCGGCCCTGGCAGCCGCGCCCACATCGCCCACCGCTGTGACGTCATCGGCGGACGTATCGCGAGGACTCTGGTGGTCGGACTCGGAGCTATATGACGTCATCCGCGGTGGATCGCGAGGACTCTGGCAGTCGGAGCCTTATGACGTCATCGGCGGACGAATCGGCTATCAGCGCCGTATGACGTCATCTCGTCGCCCGTGACCAGGTGACGTCATGACGGCGCTCCCCGCCGCCTCCTGACATCTCGGCTAGAAGCGGAGCGCCGCTACCAGTGACGTCAGACGGAGAGACGCCGGCCGGACTGCGGCCTGCAGGTCGGCGCCAAAGCTCGGCCAGCACCAGACATGGCGCCTCGCAGCGCTGGCTCTGCACCAGCGGCGCCCAGCCCAAGGCGGCCCAGCACAGCCCCAGCGTCCCCTCCGCCGCGACCTGGCCGCTCGACCTGACGTGGCCAGGTTGGGCGTCCCCACTCCAGTCTCGAGCTGAACAGCCTGTGCCTTCACGTAAGGCCCCGGTATGTCCGCCGGTCGCTGCGCAGCCGAGCAGGGTGTGACGTCGGTGGTGGAGCTCAGCTTGCTCCAGCCGCGCTACACGATTAGATGCCTCCAGTCCCGTACCCTGACCCGGCCGGATCCGAACACAGTGGCCGGCGCTTGCTGTCCGCTCCCAGAGAAAACGCGATGTCACTCATGTGCGCGCGCATGTGTGTGGACTGGAATGGGGGCGGGGATGCAGGCTCGAACACAGACACCGGCTGTGTGGGCCATCGAGGCGCTTTGCACCACCGGCCCGGGGGCTAGTCCATCATATCAGGCGGCATATCATGCGGCATATCATGCGGCATGCATCAACCGTCATCATCGCGTAGTTCATGTGAGGTCGTCACTCATGGCTGTTCGCATGCAAAACAGAGGCCCGTGGGACCTCCCCGACCGCGACGCGTGATTGGTCGGGGCGGTGCTTCGAGCGTGCCCTTCCTTTGCCGGACGGCGCCAGAATCAGGCCCGAACGCATGGTCCGAAAGCGGAGAACGCCCCGCTGACGCACGCCAAGTGAGGCGCGTTTGAGGCTGGTGATGTGGCGAGCGAATAAAAGACGTCTGGCAGATGATCTAACCGAAATGGAACAGTGGCAGGTCTATATCGAACGGCTGATCTCCGAATACAGATTCTGCTATCACCCAGCTGTCTGAGTGCGGCGCCACAGTTCGTGCGCATTCTGGGGGCAATGCCGTTTTTCATTTCAGGGATTTCCACTAACCAGATTCTATTTGCATCCGACCAGCACGTGTTTCTCCCGGCTTTTCCACAAGCACGGCCGGGTGGGATGTTCCACTCGGAAGTGTGACGTCATGATGGCGGGTTGCGAGCCATTCTCCATGTCGCCAGTCTGCACCCTGCCGCACACCGTCGACTGACGCTGCCCACGCCACGCGAAAATAGCTTCTGATGGGTCGGACCGCCCCGCACATAACCGGTGCGTGGTAGGATAAGAGACAACACGCGAACGCCCGTGCGGGCATGTGATCATAATGATCAAAGTCGCCGGTAAATGAACTTGCCCGACGCTTGTCGTAAATGCTTATAGATTAACATACCACAGGTGATCTTGCGCCCTGCCGAGCACCTGTGTGTGGGACATCCGGTATACGTTCTCAGAACGGCTTGCAAGCAGTGGACTAAGATCAGTTCATATGCGGCAAGTGATCGATCACTGTAACGCGGCACCCGCAGAACGCCCGTTCGAAGATAGCAGTCCCGTCACCTGTCTTGGCACGACATTCAACATCGGCGTGGTCTGACGTGTCCTCACGACTTGGGCTGATTCCCCATACTATGGTACTAGTTGGTCGGAAACAGGAGGATCCCAGCCGGGTCCACGCCAGGCGCTGCTTACCGAAAACAGCAAAAACACAACACCAATTACCGGTAACAGCTGGTTATTATATTTCAACCTACGACCGCATACAACACATACGTCGGCCTCTCTTGCTTACGACCGCTCGATATATCGCTTCTCCAGTTGTGCACGTACGCATAATTCCGGCAAAAATCCGAGGACCACATATAACAGTAAAAAATCGTCCCAGACTCCTACAAGCCCTGCACTCCGTAACATGTACACGACTCCTTCAGTCTCCGTCCAGTTTGCATTGCAATGTCGCCTGATAGTGTATCAATGCTGCTTGGATATTTCATGTCGGTTCAAGCAGCTCCCACACGCCATCGTGGCTCCGACAGCCACGCTCCGCTCCCAGTACCACGCTCCTCCCTCACTCCCCAACAGGATACTTCACGACACCGCCACACACGCTATCCTATCGACCCTGTCACACGGCTGCCGCGCCGCAGCTGGCAGCAGACAGTCCTGACTTACGGCCGCGCGCGACCGCAGGCGATCGGGAGTTGTCATCGCCGCCGCCCACCGACGGATCCCTGAGCGCTGCAGCCGCCGAGGTAGCGGTGGCAGCCGGTCCCGCCGTCCGACCTCAGAGCTTCGACTGCTTGTTGGTGGAGCGGATCATCTGCTCCATGAGATCCCACTGTTCGGGGGTGACGCGCGACAGCTGGTTGAACTCGCCACCGCGGAACGGCAGTCCAGCGCCGTCCAGCGCCACGCTCTGTAACAGGATCAGGGTCAGCGCGCAGGTAAAGGGATATCAAGGGTCTCCAAGGGTCCCTTCGGGGACGTCCAGAGAACTGGAGCCGGAAGTGTCAAGCACGGGATTTGCAGACAAGAAGTCAACGCACGTAAGCCCAGTGATATGACTGCCAGATAACACGCGCGAAACATCGCAACACGCACGCACGCCGGGAGATACGAACGTCGCGCAATACGCTCGGGCACAAAAGGCGCTGGACAGAATACGCTGCGGAAGACTGCTTTTAGAGCACGAGCACCGCGGTCCAGGACCAGTCCAGACAGGGAGCACAAATGAATCTCGCGTTTGGTACGAAGTACAGACACAGAGCGCCGGCGTACCTGATCACGGTACATTAACAGGAAGGAAATCGGCGCAAGAATGAGTTGCGCCACGCCTCACATATTTCAGGATATGCAAAAGGCACTATCAAACACGAAACTGCCAATCTGTTAACATAATTTCTTTCCAGCCGCTCGAGATTGGGAAGCTCATGCTTCTCCAACCCAGCCATTTATCACCATCAATCGTTCAGAATAATAAGGCTCACGGCTATTCGTCAGGCAGGCTAAGGCCGGCAGGGCGGTGTAAATCACGAGCTCGCTGGCACAGGAAAGCACAGAGCGAGATCTGAACAGATCGGCAACTTTCCCCGGATGCAAACTCTCGGAAAGTAGAATACGCTCCAACCTCGTGACCAGATTCCGATCGCGCAAATCAAAGGCTTTAACGTTCCCACGCGATTCACATTATGGATGCACAAGTCCACACAAGCTACAAAGCCTTTAATCTCTACCACATCGGGATTCCAGTTAACTAATTCGCCCCAACAGGAGCAGCTTGAGTGGCAGATGAGCCGGCTCAGCGGGTTGGCGCCGCCACCGCCAGCCGGCCTCCCACCGCCGCTCAAGGCTCACCTCCCCGCTGATCCAGGAGGAGTAGTCGCTGACGAGGTACGCCGCCAGGTTAGTCAGCTCCTCCGGCTCCCCGAAACGGCCGGCCGGGATGGCTTTCACGCCAACACGCCGGAACCTGGCGCCAAGGGCGGCGTCACAGCGTCACGGGCGGCGTTACGGGCGGCATTACGGCGTCACGGGCAGCATCACGGCGTCACAGAGCCGCTCACGAAATCACGGCGCAGCGGCGACTGGGCAGAGCACGCGTCCAAACCCGACACAGCATGTGCCACTCGACTCACCTCTGTCTACAGAGAATGGCACGTCCAGAGGTGAAACTCCGGCACAACGCACAGCCACACACGGCTCCACCATAACCCAACCGTCGGCGCGTGCCTCCGGCGAGCGGCGGCGGCGGCGGCGGAGGAGCGTCACTCACTCGCCGCTTGGGTCGAGCCTCGAGAAGGCTCCCTCGGTCTCGATCGGACCGGGCGCGATACAGTTCAGCCGGATCCCGTAGCGGCCCCACTCTGATGCCAGGCTCCTGCAGCAGGGAGCGGGGGTCAGAGGGCCTCCCAAGCGAGGCCCCACTCCGACGCCTGGCTCCCGCGACGAGAAGCGGGGGTCAGAGGGCCTCCCAAGAGCGGCCCCACTCCGACGCCTGGCTCCCGCGGCGGGGAGCGGGGTCAGAGGGCCTCTCAAGAGCGGCCCCACTCCAACGCCAGGCTCCTGCGGCGGGGAGCGGGGGTCAGAGGGCCTCCCAAGCGAGGCCCCACGCGACGGCGGTGGGTGGCACGGCCGACCGAGCCGGACACCGGTACGGGCAGGCGCTACCCCTGCTTCCCGTCCCGTGCAGACGGGCTGCCTGGCCGCGTCATAAGGATGCGGCCCGGGAGAAGGCGACGACAGACCGTTGCCCTTCACAGACCAAATGGCGGGGACGCGGGGCGCACGCGCCTTTCGGACCAGTTGTCTCGGATAATTATATTTGAATATTTAGACCGAACAATTTGACTGGATGAATTTCTGGGATCGGTTTCCACGCTAAGCAGTCATCGCTGCGTGATATTTCAGCCCACTATCCGATCGCGAAATTTCGGTTAACAGCATCATTTTACGGCGAAAGCTTAGCGTGTCGCGATGCTCAGCACGATTTGACCTGCTCTCTGACGTCATCTCACCTTTAACGCGACCATTGCCATGCCGCAGGCCATCCCACTGGGAGGAAAGAGCGAGCGCCTAAAGCGCCTCGCGCCCAGCCCACCGCGGCTAGCTCAATCGGAAGGTAGGCGCTCTGACCAACTAAGCCACCAGAACGGATAGATGCAATCAAACACTTGGTCAGTTCGCATATCACTATGAGGACATCGTACCATTCGACAGCAGAGTCGACAGCAGGGAGTTGGTTATAACACTGGTATGCGGAATGTTGTGTCGACTCATCCCAACAGTCACACAGCGACACAAGCTGCACGCGAATGGCATATCGCGCAAGACGAACAATAATCAGCGACCGTATGCCCGTCAGAGGAACAAATCCGTCAAAGATGAGGCAAGTTATTCAATAAGGACGCCGCACGCAGCAGCGCGGCGATGACGAAGTTGGCCTGTGCGCTCGGGTGGTCAGGACGGCCCGTGTCAGGAGACGGCAAATGGGTCCGTGGGGGCGACAGCAGGCGTCCAATATCTCACCGTCCACCCGTCGCGAGGACAAGCTTCGGACAGACGCCGTGTGGACCGGCACAGTTTCCAGCAGGCATACCCACCCGTGACGCGCCACGCAAAAGGCCGTGACGGAAAGTGCCGAGCTAGACAGCCAGAGTCATTAGGCGAAGCACGAAGCAGTGAAACACCACTCGCCGATTCAAAGGCCTCATGAGGAACAACGGCCAGGCAAACATATCGAACTACGTCGCCGACTGTTGACACTCGCGTCTGGACCAGCTGCAGAAAGCTGTGGCTTTTAACAACGCAACATTCATTTCCATCTGACTGGGCAGAGACAGTGGGGCGGGAGGCATACGCCAGCCGCGCAGCAAGGGCATAATCTGGCATGTCTGAGTAGTCTTAACACACGCCCGGGTGGCCGGCTAGATACCCTTCGCTCGGGTGGGTGGGAGGGGGGGGGGGGCAATTTGACCCCCTGAGATCTCGGGAACTAAGAAAGCTAGACACCAAATTTGCAGGGTGTCTTGACCTGTACGTGAACTCACTTAGGTCAAATTTTGAGCTTCCTAGGTCATGACCTTCGGGTCAAATAAGGTCAAACAGGGTCAAATTCTAGGTAGTCACCAAAGTGCCCCCAGAAAGTAAGAAACTGTTTCTAAGCAAAAGGTCAAAAACCCATTTGAGGTCAGTGACCTTGTTTGACCTTTTGAAGGTCATGGCGACCAAAATCATACAAGACTGCTCTGAGTTTTGCATTTGAATAAGCGGCAAATATCACGCTAGGCAGTATGTTCATAAAACAATATGTCGACCTGGGCCATCTTAAGTCAATTACTTTTTCTGACCTCTAAGAAGTCAATGGAAGATGTATAATGCGGTTCCTGCTGTCAATGAATTCGAAATGAGCACCAAAAACTTTCCCATACAGCAAGTCCTAGAGTAATAAATCAGGTTGGTTGTAACCTTCGTCTGACCTTCATACCTGACCTTAGGTCAATGTAATTTGCTCATTCAATATTTGGAGTGCCTAAGAAAGTATCTCAGAGATGTATGGCTTCGTCAAACACTGCATTATTGTATCAGATTGGACGATTCCCTAGAAATTGCCTTCGCTGAAACCATGTCCTGACTTTGATCTACCATAGGTTGGCGACCTTACAAGGTACATCTAAATTGTTGATGTGAAATGATCCGCTATTCAATTGTTTACAGCTAGGCAAAATTTGGCGCGGCTAGGCCGTGCCGTTCGGAAACCATTATGGAAAAACCTTCGGGGGGGGGGGGGGGGGTCAATTTGACCGCCACCCGAGCGCGTGTTAAGCTTCGACCAGCCTACCACAAGAGCGTCCGCGAGCGCATGAGTCACTCACTTGGTGAGCGTCTCAACGCCCGACTTGGCCGAGGCGCTGGGCGTGACGAAGCCGGAGCCCAGCCGGGTGTAAGTGGTGGTGATGCTGAGGAAGACGCCGCCTGCGAAGGTGCCGCACTGGTCACGGGCGCCGATGCGCGCCAACGGGGGAGGACACGCGCTGGGGTGGCACGGTGCCTGGGGAGACGGCGAGGATGCGACATACGACACGGGGATGGACGGCCGACTAGAACACAGCCTGGACGACACCGTCACGGATCGCAGGACCGTCGACGGCAGAGGGATCACACACGGTGGAAGCTTGAAGAACGCTTGAAGAAGAACGATGATTGCCGTGCAGGGCGGTGAAAATTCGGGCCGGTCGCTAGACTCAAACGCACCGCTTCGGCACACACCGGGCCAACGCTCCGGCACTGAGCTCCGCCAAACCCACCACACCCATTGGCTTCGGCAAACAACGGACCGGCCCGCCTCTCGCCCTCGCCCTGACCCCGACCACCGGCGGTAGGGCAGCACTCTCACCCCGCCCGGCCTTGATCCACCGCTTGCCCACGTCCAGCGTGAGGTAGGCGGTGCCGTTCAGCACGATGTCCACCACCGTCCTCCAGGCGTTGGCAGACAGCCTGCAGGACGCACGCACACTTAGCGAGGGGTTACACGCGGAGAGTACGGGAGGTGCGTGCGTGAGTTGCGGCAGTGCCTAGCCTCTTCTTCCCTCTTCAATGGACACGGATCACCCCCGCGGTGAGATGAAACAAAACACGTCATATTCGTGACGGGGCAAGAAACGCCGTCCGGAGAAAATGGAATCCCAGTCACGACACGAACTTACATGCAAACCAATATTCAAGCCCGGGTTGCACCAAATACGTATCATTACGGTTGAGGCCACATTTCAGTTCACCGCGACTGCAGGCAGACACTTGTCATGTAACGGGCGATATAGCAAACTTATTTCATATGCATCGTGTAAACAAGGAGTCAGCCGATAAAGAGAACCCCCAGAGACCGTCAAGCCAACCAGAAAGGACAGTCGATTCACTTTATCGGGAGCACATCCGCAATGACAGCAGAGGGAAGGGCAATATATTCAAATACATTAGTGAAATGGGGCACCTAAACGCACTCCCACCTGCTGCCGGTGGGATAAGCTGAAACCTATTGGCGGGCGAGCCCTTCACCGCACTCACGCCCTGCACGTGTGCGCGCCCCTGCCGCCCCAAGCGGCGCGCCCGCCGTCGCTCAGCTACCGTTCGGTGGGCGAGATGAAGTTGCCGGCGGCGTTGTTGATGACGATGTCGGGCACGCCGAGTCGATCGACGCAAGCGTCGACGGCGGCGGTCACGGCGGCCGGGTCCCGCACGTCGGCCGACACGGGCAGCACGGCACCGCCCGTCAGCGCCGTCACCTCGGCCGCCGCCTCGTCCAGCACCTTCTGCCGTCTGCCGGGGGGAGGGGGGAGGGGTTAGGACACGGCACCGTCCGTCAGCGCCGTCCCCTCGGCCGCCGCCGCGTCCAGCACCTTCTGCCGTCTGCCGGGGGGAGGGGGGAGGAGTTAGGCACGGCGCCGCCCGTCAGCGCCGTCCCCTCGGCCGCCGCCGCGTCCAGCACCTTCTGCCGCCTGATGGAAGGGGAGGGGTTAGCTAGGTACGACACCGCCGTGCCGCCGCGGCGTCCAGCACCCTCTGACGTCTGCCAGACGGGGAGGGGAGGCCAGTGTCGCAGGGTGTCGGCCCTGGAAGGGAGGCCGGGTCATTGGCACGTCATCTTCCGCCACGTTGGCGGAGCGCCATCCCTCGGATGTGGGCGAGGCCTGACGCCTGGCGGGTGGGGTCAGGGGAACACCTGACGCCTGGCGGGTGGGGTCAGGGGAACACCCGACGCCTGGCGGGTGGGGTTAGGGGAAAACATGACGCCTGGCGGGTGGGGTCAGGGGAACACCTCGACGCCTGGCGGGTGGGGTCAGGGGAACACCTCGACGCCTGGCGGGTGGGGTCAGGGGAACACATGACGCCTGGCGGGTGGGGTCAGGGGAACACCTCGACGCCTGGCGGGTGGGGTCAGGGGAACACATGACGCCTGGCGGTGGGGTCAGGGGAAACATGACGCTGCGGGTGGGGTCGGGGAACACCTGACTGGCGGGTGGGGTCAGGGAAACACCTCGACCCTGCGGGTGGGGTCAGGGGAACACATGACGCCTGGCGGGTGGGGTCAGGGGAACACATGAGCTCGCTGGAACGACCCTGGCGGGTGGGTCAGGGAACACCTCGACGCCTGCGGTGGGGTCAGGGGACACATGCGCCTTGGCGGGCGGTCAGGGGACACCTCGGTCGCGGACCTTGTTCCATACTGATTCCTGCTGGCCACGGTGAAGGGCAAGGGGGGCGTTCGAGGGACGTCCGACGCAGGGGTTTAGTTTCGCAAAATGAAACGGGGGGACAGAGGGGAGGGGGTTCAACAGTGAAAACCGACGCTAAACACTCCCATAAGACGTCAACAAATGAGCTTCTCCCGGGTTTGACCCAGTTTCTTCTCAAAGTTCGGGGCTGAGGTCCAGGTTGGGGGGGGGGCTGTAGCCCTCCCCGAACTTAATGGGAAGCTACACCCCTGGTCTGACAGTGAGCGCTCTCACGCCCACAAGGACAGGAGGTGTAAGCGGTAGGAGAGCACACACGGGCCTACACAAGAACAAACGCCATCCAATTCCAATGTTGAACAGGTAAGACGTAAAATGGACTCGTGGGTGATCAGACAATGAGAAGGCTGGTTGACTGTTTGACGTCTGAGGTTGTAAACGGCGGTCATCTGGCTGTCACAGAGGCAGGCAGTCCCATGGTCAATAGATATGTCATAACACCCTGTGTTTCAATACAGGCCAAACATAAGAACAATATAAGACAACAAATTAATATAGAAACAAAGCTGAAGCCCCTAAAATGAATCAGTTTGTGAATACTTGTATCAAGATCGCTTTACGGCTATTGCATAAATAGCCACCGGATCCAGTGTCCATACAGAGTTCGGTGTCCGGATCCGCAGCTCCACACGGAGCAGCAGATCCGTACACCACCCTGCTCTGAGACTCACCTGCTCATGATGCACACCTGAGCTCCCAGCTGACTCAGCATGGTGGCCATGCCCTTACCCAGGCCGGTGCCGCCGCCCGAGATAAGCGCCACCTGTCGGCCAGAGAGCGGCTCAGCCGTCCGCCAGAGGGCAGGCCGATCGGCGGCGGCCGCCGCACGCCGTTCGCCGGCGTTGACAAATGCCAGTGGTGAATGATGAACGAATAAACGACCGAATGAAGGAAAGATGAATGGATGGGTGAATGGATGAAGGAATAGTGATGCCTAGAGATTAAGCAGAAGCGGAAGTGATATGCATATACAATTACTGTTACCAAGGTACAATAACAGAGCTTTCAGAGTCTCATGGCAGCCAAGACTTTTGACCAAAGCATAAAAAAGGAACAAGAAACCTGCAGGCCAATCTGAATGGCAGCTGAGGTTCAGCAGTTCTCAGAGTCATAATGACCTGGAAGGCACCTGTCTCCACAGCAGATCCAAAGGCAAGAAGCAAGGCAGGCAAATCCTGTTCCTACTGACCTTGCCCTTGAACGTGTCTGGTGGGAGCATGGGTGTCTTCATGGCTGGGAAGTGCCGAGCCTGAGGCATCGTTGGTAGTTGGCTGTCATCTGCAGAGCTCAGTGTCTGAGATGCGGAGAGCGCCTGGAACATGTTGTAGATCTTAAGGGCTGTACTTCACAGCAATGCGATCTATGAACACTAAAGTAATCACAAACAAATCTGGTTGCAGTATATTCATATGACATTTAAAAGACATCAGGTTTCCTTGGTGATGTACAGTAAGCCTGACTGTGAGGCTAATTAATAACATAAACAAAACAAAATGAGAGATGACAAATATTCATATAATGCTCTTAGACATAAGGGAACAATTAATGAAGACATGATTAGTGAATAGGATGTCAAACAAAATCTCACCATTTTCTGCATTTTTCCTAATGAATGAGGCCTCAATGCTTGGGTTGCTAAACTTCTTGCAGAAAGCATGACAGCTTAGTCTGAAAATAAGGGCACATTTTCATGAGCTTAGCAAATGCTGATAGAATTCCTACTTTGCAGCTTAAGGTTTTCACCACCTCATGCTGCATGCACACAATACTCCCAAAGTCAGTTAGCAAAGCAATAGGTACAGATGCAAAGCTCTAAGTTCAAGCAGCATCACAGAGCATATCATATCAAATTATCTGTACTTTTATTTCTGCCCACCTGCAAAGTAATATATTCCAGCTCAATATAATATAAGTATGCAACATATCATATGCATCAAAGAATGGGGGTGATAAAGTGTCCTAATCAAAAGGATAAAAGGCAAAAGGCATATTAAAAGATAAAAAGTAAAATGTATCCTTATTTCATATGACATATGATTTACAAACAAGCTGGTCAATAATGTGGAAACACACAAGAGCACAATGCCAAAGACAAAAAACAGTGATGAATGAATGTCATACCACATCATTAGTGTTTATATCATAGAACTTTTACCCCTGCAATATTATAGCCATAACACACACTGTAAACAGGACAGCATGCTGTGGTGGCAACAGTATGACAGTAGGTACCTCAGGTAGGCCAGTGTTACTGTGTCATGCACTGAAGAAGGAAGGCTAAACATGCATTCTTCAATCATTCTACACCTACAGGGGTTGTAAAGACTTTTTCATGATTATGTTGAGCCCTGCAAGAGAAACTTCAGATAATAACTCATATTTTCAGAAGTCCTGAAAGTTGGCATTAAGCTAGTGTTCATATCCCAATACAGGCAAAGATGTGCAAGCTGTAATAGGTTACTCAATAGAAAGGCATCCATGCTCAGAAGCAAGGTTGTCAATTTTTATAATTTTGGGGGGTCTGAGCCCTTCCATTAAACACTGACTTGAGCCCATCAATGCTCTTCTGGGTCCCTCCTAGATGTGCATGAGCAAAAAATGGAAAACTGGGCTAACAAATGCCAGCAGTGTTTGAACTGTTGGCACCCTAGGCACCTAAGCACATCATACCAGTATCACAATCATAATCATCTCTATCTATCAGATTAGCCTCAATTTGAGCACCATGAATCAAACAGTCAAAATAACTTTGAAACAGACCAGATAGCTTTTCGTGTTCTTTTCGCAACCGGGACGCAAACCAAAGGCCGAAATCCGGAGCGAAATCAGGACGTGGGGCGTGCTAGGTCAGCTTTAATGCCTGAACCCCCCAAACTCATTTAAGTGATATCCCTGCTCAGAAATTATAAGAATAGCACACACGACTTACAGAACCGTTTAAAATGCTTCTGTCGAGTGATAACCGTGTCCAATCGCGACCCCGCTGGTGACCCGTTTTCGGCCAGCCGTAACCCGAATGCGTAGCAAGTGTATATTTATTAACGTGACCTGAGCTACTCTCGTCTCAGGCGCGCAGAGGCGACTATTCAAACGCTGCTAGTATATTGCGGGTTTTGATCATTACTGTGAACAACCGGTGCAACACATTTGGTCCGAGATTTCAGCCGCTGCAATTCCAGGTTTAAGTATACAAAATCGACAGTGAGGTAAACCTCTCCCAGCCAAAATTGTTACTTCTAAGACCTCTTATGAATAAAATGAATGGCTAAAAACGACTGAGTGACCGGAAAATGAATAAAACCGCAGGTAAGCGGTTCCAACTCCACCATTCCACTTACAACGCTTTTGAAGACGCGCGGGTTGAAATAAAAACTGGTTCGATAAGCTCTCATCAGGAGCACATGAATGTGGGGCACAGAAGGTATGTGAGAACCTGGCCAGGATGACTATCGGCGAGCTGTTTGGAGCGGAGGAGGGGGGCAAAGGGCTGGACGTCGGTCCGGTGCTAGCTGCCCCGGTCAGAGAACTTCCGCATTAGAAAGGACCGATAAAACATGCGTCGCTCCAAGGGCCTACGAATCGATCGGGCTCCAGCCCTGTATCGCCAGATTGGAAGACGGAAAAGAACTTAGGCAGGGACGAAAGGGCTCTTAAGCTCCTGACCGGGAAATGTGCCTCCCCACCAGTGTGTGTGTGTGTGGGGTGGGGGGGGGGGGGGGGGCACATACCACTCACAGGGCCCTCTATCTGGGAAGTATCTGGTATGGTCTGATCTCTTTTGTATTCCATAACCTGGATTAAAACGGAGTCCCGGAATCAATTAGTAAGAAAACTGCAAACATGACATAGATTAGCCCTGGGTGCGCCCAATCGCCATGCGCAATCGTCATCTTAACGAACAAAAACGGTGATGCCCAGCCATGCGGTCTCAGTCGCACTGAGCGGCGATGGTCCAGCACGTAACACCAGGCGGTGGGCGGTCCCCACGCGAGAACGACCACGCATCAAGTGATAGTCTCAAAGCCCTTTTTATGAACTTGAACTGTGAAAAGGCGAGGTTGGGGCATACATTCCACCTACGCAGTTTCCATGATGCTCTTCTGGTTGCGGTTCCAGTAACACGAAAGATAAAGATTCCGCCATTACATCAAAAGATCGCTTTGGTTTAAAAGCTAATCCGTTCAGAGTATCAATCTGAAAATCGCACAGGTGAAATCTACGGCCTGGACTGGATTTCAAACGTTCAGTAAATCGTTCGAGACCGCTTTTTTCTAACGCCTGATCGTTTTAGCGCACCCCTTGGACACCGGCCGGTGCTAGCTGTAATGGCCGGCGTTCCTCTTCCTATGGAGACTGCAATGTCTGGCATCGAAGTTTTTGCTGGTAGAGATGTGAGTTCGTGTGCCCAAAACTGTGCTGTGCATACGTACTCACATCTCTACCAGCAAAAACGTTCAGCAAATTCACAGACCTCTCAATGTACATGGCTGTATAGTCCCGAAACAATCCGGCAATATCTTGTTCTATCTTGTGCAAACAAGAAGTCAGGGAAATACAGCAGTGCTGTGATATGGAGGCCCTGGGACAGGAAGCAGAACCGAAACGGTTCGTAAATTCAGACAATCAATGTGCAGTAGATCATCAAGGATCACCGAGATCGTCGAAGGGTCTGAGTCCTCCGAGTGGTTCCGATGAGTGAAATTGCCCCGGATCGGGGCCTGAGACAGCCGCCAGGCGACTTCGGAGCTGCCAGGTTGCCACCGGGACGTAAGGAGCCAGAAGCCAACAAGAGTGATCAAAGGACCCTAGGATCATCAGGCACCACAGATGGTCAAAGAGCCTCAAGGTCGCCCCAATCTTCCTAGCACCAAAGAGGCCTAAACATCGAACGAGCTTCTACACGGCTCAATGATCTACCATGTGGTCAAACACCTGAGGATGATCAAGTGAACCTAAGATATCCATGGGTTTCCATATGCTGAGAACTCGGCTCAAATGGCCCAAAATGATTGGGGGTCCCACAAACGGCGCAGGATCCTTGTAAAGACTAACATAGGCTTCGAATGGTGAGGGTAATCTGTGAGGGCCAATGGGAACAAGACGGCCTAGGCATAAGCATGGGTGGTCAAGTTGTCCCAGAGCCCCGCAGAGAGATCAAATCATTCCGTGGACCCCGCTCACGGGGCCAAAACCCGACAAAAAGCCACGGGATGGTCAGGGGAGCGTAAGAGACTCTGAAGCCGTCTCATGGCCAGTAGCTTCTGGGGAAGGGGGAGGGGGAGGGGAGAGATAAAGTGTCTGGGCACGGTCAAAGAATTCAGTACGCAGTACGGTAAACCGGTGCATTTGCCTTTATTGTGCGCTGGGATTCACGTCTCTATCGCTGAGGATGCTGAAATCTAACGTCACTCCTCAAAACCACCTCAAACTGGAGATTCTGCGGTTTGACAGCGCCTCACAGTCTGCACACATCACCCCCCACGCTGGCCAGTAGGATTGTCCGTTTTAGTTGCTAGCAGTATCCGTTGTTTTCGTGTCATTACGCCACAAACTACAACATTGCGTCATTAGATATGGGCTCTGTTTCCACCAACGCTCTTCATTTTTTCTCTCGCAGATGGAAAAGTTTACGCTCCTGTGGTGACCGGGTGACGGATGTTAAATCGTGGTAATGGTACAACTCTGCGGGAAAAACACGCCTAATCGAACACCTTGCGGGCTTACGAGCAGATTAGACACACAACCTCTAAACAATTGTGGTTGCTACTGATAAAGGCTGCATGAGCATCAGACTGGGAGATGCAAACATGTGAGTCTCTCAAAATCGTGACGGCCGGGTCGAACATGTTTAACACTTTTTATGAGAGAGAGAGAGAGAGAGAGAGAGAGAGAGAGAGAGAGAGAGAGAGAGAGAGAGAGAGAGAGAGAGAGAGAGAGAGAGAGAGAGAGAGAGAGAGAGAGAGAGAGAGAGAGAGAGAGAGAGAGAGAGAGAGAGAGAAGAGAGAGAGAGAGAGAGAGAGAGAGAGAGAGAGAGAGAGAGAGAGAGAGAGAGAGAGAGAGAGAGAGAGAGAGAGAGAGAGAGAGAGAGAGAGAGAGAGAGAGAGAGAGAGAGAGAGAGAGAGAGAGAGGAGAGAGAGAGAGAGAGAGAGAGAGAGAGAGAGAGAGAAGAGAGAGAGAGAGAGAGAGAGAGAGAGAGAGAGAGGAGAGAGAGAGAGAGAGAGAGAGAGAGAGAGAGAGAGAGAGAGAGAGAGAGAGAGAGGAGAGAGAGAGAGAGAGAGAGAGAGAGAGAGAGAGAGAGAGAGAGAGGAGAGAGAGAGAGAGAGAGAGAGAGAGAGAGAGAGAGAGAGCGAAAGAGAGAGAGAGAGAGAGAAGAGAGAGAGGAGAGAGAGAGAGAGAGAGAGAGAGAGAAGAGAGAGAGAGAGAGAGAGAGAGAGAGAGAGAGAGAGAGAGAGAGAAGAGAGAGAGAGAGAGAGAGAGAGAGAGAGAGAGGAGAGAGAGAGAGAGAGAGAGAGAGAGAGAGAGGAGAGGAGAAGAGAGAGAGAGAGAGAGAGAGAGAGAGAGAGAGAGAGAGAGAGAGAGAGAGAGAGAGAGAGAGAGAGAGAGAGAGAGAGAGAGAGAGAGAGAGAGAGAGAGAGAGAGAGAGAGAGAGAGAGAGAGAGGAGAGAGAG